TTATTGTTTGTTACTCTATGGATTATTTAATTAAATTTTCAATTCGTTATATATATATCGAGACCGTTAAATAAAAATGAAATTATTAAAAAAAATTTGTATGACGTAATCAATTTTATTTTATTTTTTAAGAATAAATTTAAATTTAATTTCGATACACGAGAGCGGAGAGATTTAAAATTTTTTTTTAAAATGAAATTTTATAAATATTCAAATTTTTTTTTTTTTGAATTTTCTAGAAAATAATAATAATAATAATAATAATAATAATAATAATAATAATAATAAAGGAAACAAATTCCGGTAATTTTAGAAAGCACAGCCCGGTTCTCTTGTTTATGAAAAATTTAAATAAATTGTTTGATTGATAATTCAGCAGTAGTAGTATGATAATAATGATGATGATAATGATGATGATGATAATAATGATAATTTAAAAAGTTTCGGTCATTAATATTTACATATTAATTAAGTTAATTTAACTACCTTTTCTCTTACGTAATTACGTAGGAGAAAATGCTAATATTTTTACTTTATGCTTTATGATTTTATTTTATTTATTTATTTATTCTATGGATTCAAATCAACTAATTTTTATATATATATACGTGCGTACGTGTATACATATGTATGAATTATTTATATAATCTATGATATAAAAATCATAAATATACATGGATTTAAAAAAAAAAAATAAGTTAAAAAATTTTGCGAAGGTGTAAAAAAAAAAAAAACGTGGCAGGAGATTTTTTTTAACCTTAGTTCCCACTCTATGGAATTTTTTTGATTTAAACAAAAAAATATTAATTAAAAAGGGCATAAAACAAAGGGGGGGGAGAAGAGAAGGGGAAATGAAAATATATGTTTTTGTCATTTATAAACAAAAAAAAAAAACGATATGTGACATTTTTCTTTTTTTAAATAGAAATTTATTGTTTTGCTTTCTTTTTTTCAAAAAAAAAAAAAAAAATTAATTAAATTGATAAAAGAAATATCGATTAGAAAATATATTAACTTTAAAAAAAAAAATGTATTGAAATTATTGTTTAAAAAAAAAAAATTAGTTTTTGCGGTAAAAAAGAAGGGTATCGAAATGAGTTTTTAAATTTAATAACATCAAAGTAAAAAAAAAAAAATTATAAAAAAAAGTTTTGAAACATTTTTTGAAACATTTTCCACTTCGGTTTTTTGTTTTAAAAAGCTTAATAATAATTTTTTTTTTCTTTATAAAAAATTTTTAACAATAATTTAAATTTTCAATTCAATTGTTTAAAAAAAAAAAAAATTTAATCTAAAACAAATAATTTTAACATGTTTAAACAAAATCACATGGAAGACATTTTTTTTTTTTTTTTTTTGGAATTAATAACGGAAAATTTTTATCTGACGTCACGACTTTTAAACTCCTACCACGTCATAAAAATTTTGACTCGAGTTAATTTTTCTCTCTCTCTCTCTCTCTCTCTCTCTCTCTCTCTCTCTCTCTCTCTCTCTCTCTCTCTCTCTCTCTCTCTCTCTCTCTCTCTCTCTCTCTCTCTCTCTCTCTCTCTCTCTCTCTCTCTCTCTCTCTCTCTCTCTCTCTCTCTCTCTCTCTCTCTCTCTCTCCCTCTCTT